AAGAGACAGGTGTTATAAACTTATAATCAGGGTGTAGAACTGTACCTGAAAAAATCGTTTTTATTTATTTATATAATTTGATTTTATTTTTTTAAAATCGAGCCGATTTATAAAATATAAATTTAATAATTCAAAATTTTTAGTAATTAGTAGATTAATTTTCAAGTTTTGATCGAATCTCTTAATTTTGTATAATATACATATATCACATATAAAAAATTTGAAGAAATGTATATGTATATTATGTATAGTTATAGAAAACAGTTTAAATTTAAATTAAATAGTATAAAATATTATAAATATTTATAATTAAATTTGAATAGAAATTCAAACAATTTAAATCAACTCAAAATTTGTAAACTAGACTAGACTAAAAAAATTTAAATAGAGTCCAAGTTATAAAATAAATATCGTCAACTTAAATAACTTGAAATTTTTTTATTTGATTCGACTCAATTGAACGCTTATATCTAGGTGTAACTAACAACTTAATATAGAAAAGATGTCTAAATTATACATTTTTTCTCATTTAGGTGCCTAATTTTTTTTGGTCACTGTAAATGACTAATGGTATATACATTATTATTTTAAGTGTCTTAAACATAATATACTTTAAAAAATCCACATGATATATATTTAAAAATTTACTTTTTTATAGTTAAGCCTAGCCGGTAGTCCCGGCAGTATCTGTTGGTTCAACTGCAAACAAAATTAAAAGGAGCGGTTAATCTTTCATTTCCCTCTTCTTTTTGTCTGTTGGTTCCACTGACCTCTGACCTTCCTCACAGTCGAATTTCGTAAACAGACAAGTAGAATGTTGTAATCTTATTTCTCTGCAACTCAACTTTATCAATTTACCCAACCTCCCTTTCCTCTTCCAAATCTAGTATTTCTGATTTTAGCAGTTTTTTTCAACCAATGCCGGGCCTCGTCTCCGTTAAATCTCCACCCGACGCGCCACCGCTGCGGATTACAGTTCGGGAGTCACCTCTGCCGCAAATTCCATCGCGAACTCCTAATAAGAAGCCACCTTCTCCTTTCCCTTCCCGATCCAAGCTTTCCCCCGTTCGCAGTACCAAGAAGCCTCCACCGGACTCACCCAACCTCGACGACTCCGCGCTCGACAATCCGGATCTTGGTCCCTTTTTACTCAAGTTAGCCCGAGACACTATCGCTTCCGGGGAGGGTCCGGCTAAGGCTTTGGACTATGCGGTTTGAGCGGCCAAGTCGTTTGAGAGATGCGCCGTGGGAAGGTGAGCCCAGCTTGGATCTGGCGATGAGCTTGCACGTGCTGGCTGCCATTTATTGCAGCTTGGGGAAGTTTGATGAGGCGATTCCGGTGCTGGAACAGGCTATTCAAGTACCCGATGTGGATCGAGGCCCTGACCACGCGTTGGCTGCTTTTTCGGGGCATATGCAGCTGGGGGACACATATTCCATGCTGGGGAAAATTGAGAAGTCGATTGGATGCTATGAAGAAGGACTAAAGATTCAGGTCCAGGCTCTGGGTGAGACTGATGCCAGAGTTGGCGAAACTTGCAGGTTTTCTCTCTGTTTCTGAATTCGAATGATTTATTTACTGTTAACATTTAAGTACTAGAATTTGAGATTTGGTAGGTGAGAAAGAAAAGATAGTGAGAAAGAAAAGGGAATAGGCATCGATGGGCTGAAGTGGCAGATGGGGCAGTGTCTCTCAAAAAGTTTTAATTTTTATATTTTAAATATTTTCTTTTTCTTTTTTATTGATATTCTATTTTTGTTTTGTAAAATTTTATTAACTAACGATTGTTCATGAGGCCGTCTAGGGGAAAATGGGTTATTTGGTAATTTTTTATCGGCTCCAATGAACTAACTCTTCCTTAAATTGAGTTTCAAACTTCGAAGAACTAAAGGAGGAAAAATTTTGAGGTTAGAAATGACTGCAATGATATGTTCCGTTTTCAGTTTTTTCCTAGGATTATTATTATTTTTTAATTTGCATAAATTAGTATGAGTTTCTCTGTTTTATTATCAACAGTATGCTCATGATGAATGGAAATAACAGGTACTTGGCTGAGGCTCATGTTCAAGCAATGCAATTTGATAAAGCCGAAGAATTGTGCAAAAAAACTCTTGAAATTCATCGTGCCCACAGTGAAGCTGCATCACTCGAAGAGGCAGCTGACCGTCGCTTGATGGCACTCGTATTTGAGGCAAAGGGAGATTATGAAGCGGCCCTTGAGCACCTTGTCCTAGCCAGCATGACAATGATTGCTAATGGACTGGAGAATGAAGTAGCAGCCATTGGTGTCAACATTGGCAATATTTACCTGTCTTTATGTCGCTTCGATGAGGCTGTCTTCTCTTACCAGAAGGCACTAACAGTTTTCAAATCATCAAAGGGCGACAACCACCATTCAGTTGCTTCAGTCTTTGTGCGCCTTGCTGACCTCTACCACAGGACGGGGAAGCTTCGAGAATCGAAGTCCTATTGTGATAATGCTCTGAGAATCTTTGCTAACCCTGTTCCTGGAACCACAGCAGAAGAGATAGCTGGTGGGTTAATAGAGATTTCAACCATATATGAATCTGATGATGAGCCTGAGGAGGCATTGAAGCTCTTGCAGAAGGTAATGGAATTGTTGGAAGATACACCTGGACAGCAAAGCACGATTGCTGGAATTGATGCTCGGATGGGTGTGATGTTCTACATTCTTGAAAGGTATGAAGAGGCAAGGACCTCTTTTGAAAGTGCAATAGCAAAGCTTAGAGCTAGTGGAGAGAGGAAGTCAGCCTTTTTTGGGGTTGTCCTGAACCAGATGGGCTTAACTTGTGTCCAATTATTCAAGATAGATGAGGCTGTTGAGTTGTATGAGGAAGTAAGAGCCATACTCGAGCAGGAATGTGGTCCATGTCATCAAGATACTCTAGGAGTATGTGGCAATCTTGCAGCGACTTATGATGCTATGGGAAGGTACTCTGCAGCAAATTCCATTCAACCTAGCTTATGATTGATATAACAGGAGATCATTAGTTATTTAGTTTTGCTTACAGAATTGTAGGCTTGAATATCAGAGAAGACACAAAATAAACTTAGGAGGAATGAAATTGATACGGGAGTGTATCTGTTGTGCTCTTATGGTGCATTGCATCTAATTCTTCGTAGTTTCTTATTTTTTTTTCCTTCTAGAATTCAGTTACTTATATTTTGATGAAAAACAGGGTTGAAGATGCAATCGAGATATTGGAGAATGTACTAAAATCGCGAGCAGAGAAACTTGGAACTGCAAACCCTGATTTCTAAGATGAAAAAGGTAGGATGGCTGAGCTCCTAAAAGAGGCAGGCAAACCTCGAAACAGAAAAGCAAAATCGCTGAAAAATCTGATCAATCGAACTCAAGGATGACGAAGAAAGAGGGGACAAAAAATGGGGTCTCAGAATTTGAAGTGTCTGACCCAGTGCATATCAATTTCATTTTACAATACAGTATTTTTGTGCAGTTTTGTGGTTTGTTGCTGTTATTGCAGAAGTCTACCCTGCTCTGTATAATTTTGTTGTTTTACTGAAGTATGTTGCACTTTTGGTTGCTTCTTTTTTATTTTTTTTCTCCCCTTTGTAATATTTATGCTTGTATCTATTTAATTATTCATTTTTGTGTTGAATTTATTCTTTAGGGACTTGTTAAGGAAATTTGTGTTATTATGTGTCTACACAAAATAAAATAAAATAAAATATTTTTTTTATCATTACAATAAAAAAGAGTAAAATGTAAGATTTTATTATCTAATGTGTAGTTATGGGAGAGATGTAAATAAAATACAAAGGAGAATTTCATGAAAGAAAAAACTTTGAGATTAATCTGTTAAGGCAATATAATTTGATCATTAAAATTTAAAACCTTTATTCAATTAACCTACAAGAATAAAATATTTTTTTATTTTTTAATTAATGTTGAAAATATTAGTTTAAACTTGAATTAAACTTGAGCATAAATATAAATAACTAAATTTAAAATTGAACAAGTAAATCAAGTTCAATTATTGTAGGTAAATTAAATTAATCCAATGAGTTGAAGAAACTCAATTAATTTTATTTTAAATCAATTCAAATTATAAAAGTAAAACTTAATTAAAATCAAATATAATTTTGAGTCTAAATTTTTGATATGGCTTAAATAAGTTTACTCAAATTCACTTTAATCATAAATGTCTTATAGAAGAGAACGGGAAAAAATCATAAAAGAGGAGAAAATAAATATAGATATTAGATTTGGTAAAAAAATTAAATTTTAAAAATATTTATTTATTATTTTTAATTTTAATTTTTATATAATTAAAATTAAATAAATTTTAAAATAAATTGAAACAAATATGATAAGATGATTTTATTTCGTTTTATATTAATAGAAATACATATATATAAATCCCGAATTATCACCATCACCTGATTTGTTTTTTTTTTATTTTTATTTATTATCATTGATTTTTAATCTTTATGTAATTAAAATTTATAATTAATTTTGAAATGTAAATCATTGCTTAGCGTAAACAAAAATAATAATAAATCTTTTTACATTAAAACGAATAAAGTGTAAAATAATTTGCTGAAAAGAATACATGTCGCAATTTTGAATTGAGAGACTAAATAAGAACACAAAGAACAAAGAGAAATAGGGGATTCTATTTTAAAGAGATTAAAAGAATATTTTTATTAATCTATGGTGATTATAAGTGATTGTATATATTTTAAAGATTTTAAACCATTAAATAATGAATGTTCAAATATTTTGAAGTCATTGGTGATTGAACATAAAATCTTTAGTGATAACAATCGTTTCTCTAATCATGGAGGTCGTTTAGTTTTCAATCAATTTTTATATTTTTGTTAAGTTTTTTTTAGTGAAGGACAACTGGACAAGTTTCATTAATTGATTTTAAAAATAAAAATAAAAAAAAATAGAAAAGTCTTAAGAAACTATATCTGATCATAATCATACAGGGAAATAAACAAAGCATGACCAAATCCAGCTCTCATTCAGGGCCAGAGGTTTATCATTAATTCATAACACCGTATTACATTAACACAACATCAAGAAGGAAGAAGATACATTCTCCAGTTCCTTACATCGCAAGTTTATTTAATTTATATTGTGTGGCAGGCTTATCATCATGCCAACATATCTACCATGTTTATACATATGTAGAGTTCATCGTATTTCTTTGCATTTCCAGACCTGTAAATAAAAACCATTAGTTTTGTATCCTGATTAAACAAAATGAAGAAGAACGAAGGTGAATATATGGATTCGGAACTTTACCTTGTTAAATCCCCCATGATGATCGTTTTCGTCGTTACTCTGAGAGTCACTACAGCTGTTTTCACCCGAATTGTTGTTCATCAGACCCTTAGCTGAGTGGCCGTTGCCACGGTATCCACGGCCTCCGCCGTAATAATGTGAGTCGTTGGAAAAGTGTGTTTCGCTGTACTCGGCTTCGGTGTATTCTAACCCCATGGTTTTACAAGGGCCGTATGATTGAGTGGTGATGAACCCGTTTCCGTGTCCGGAGTGGTTGCCGCGACGGTGCGGCTGGCTACGGACCATCTCATTGATGGCATACTCCATAGCCATTCGTCTCTTCATAGCTTTCATAGTTTCCGTGATGATCGAAACCATGGCCCGTCCCGCTGCCATTTTTCTGGAACCTATCGGCTGGGGTGGGGCTCCCATAGCCATAAACACGACCTTCATGTTTCCCGTGGTTACTATCGTTCCCATAGCCATACGACTGCATCTTGCCATATCCATTTCCAGGAACATGAAGTTGAGTTTTGGACATTGCAGGTCCATTTTGGGACTTGTAGTTGCCGTAAGATTGACCAAACCCATCCCAAGTTTCAGCCATTCCATAAGCATTCTGGGGTTTGCTCATTCCGTAGGTGGTGGGATTGTGGATTTGAGTATAACATTCGCTTCCACTATAAGCCATTCTTGACTCCATGGTATTTGCTCTCCTTCTTGCTTCCCCAATTAGGGTAGTGTCCCTGTCCCATTGAGTTGCCACCTCCATTCAACCCCATTCTCACCCTCTCTTAATCTGTTAGTGCTTGATGATTAATTACTTGAGTGGAGCAAACTATAAATACAAGCACGGTGGATTGGATTCCTTCTGGTGAGTGCTACAACCATAAAGGAAATGATAAAGGCACCACATGTTGATTGCAGTCATACAGGGAACAAATTCCTCATAAATCTTTTGTCAACATCATTAGCATTTTTTGACACCAATATCTAAACATTTGTTCTTGAGCAACAGACTTAGTGGGCGCCATTCCTATGTAAAAAGAATCTATTTGTCAAGTTGTCAAACGATGGACGCAAAATTTCATGTTAGAGAGGGTGATTTGATAAAATTTTAAGTAGAAAAAATCTTATTCTGAATAAAAAAAATATAAAAAATATTTAAAATATATACAAATTTAAAATTTGAAATGGGACGACCACCCACACCCACTCCTCTGGGTCTATTCCTTCGAGTAGATGATATGAGAAATGGAGCTGAAGATATTCATTTTTTTCATTTAAATGTTATTTATATTATTATTATTATTATTATTATTATAACAAATGGTGGCCCAGATCAATGAGCCCATAACAAACCCTAACAGATTAGGGTTTTTCTATTCCCCCAGCCGCCATCTTCAATTTCAGCCGTTAGATCTGGTTTGATCCAACGGTCCACAGTTTGCCAGAGGAAACCCTAGGGTATCAATACCCTAGGGACACGTCCCAGAGCGCCGTAGATTCCAGAAGACCACGAGGCGTTGCTTCAGCCATCACCGCCACTCCGCACACATGTCGTCCCAACGGTGAGTCACCACTGGGAGTCCGGTGACTCACCAGACTCCATTCTTTTACCCGGTCCGATGGCCACACCGGTGATGGCTATAAAGCCATCACCCATCTGCGAGAAAGAAAAGGAGAACAACAGAGCCAGAGAGACAAAAACCGAAAGTAAAGATACCAAAAAGACCAAAAGCTTACCGAGGAAGCTACACCGGACCTCTTCAAACGTCACCAAAACCTTCGAAACCGAAGGTATTTTTCTTAGATTTGCTCCGATCGGAGCCGTTTAGAAGAAAAAGCTGGCCCTTCGGGCCAGTCGGGTTTGGCTTTAAATAGCCTTCCCGAACGACGTCGTTTCGGGGAGGGCTATTTGTGTAATTTTTAATTGTTAAAGCTGGCCCTTCGGGCCAGTCGGGTTTGGCTTTAAATAGCCCTTCCCGAACGACGTCGTTTCGGGGAGGGCTATTTGTGTAATTTTTAATTGTTAAATCCCGTCCGCCATCCCTCAAATTTGTAAACTTACATTTTAGTCACTAAATCAATTTATAATCCTTTTAATTCGTTCTTTAATTTTAATTTTCTTTATTTTAGTCCTTTATATTAAATAATATATTTAGGGTAAATAACAGATTTAATCCCTTAATTTTAATAATTAATATTTTAATCCCGAGTTTATATTTTTAATTTATTTTAATCTGATATTCGAACTTTAGATAATTTTATTTTAGTCACTAAATTAATAATAAGAAAATAGCATGTTTAATCCCTATAATTTTGATTAATATTGAATTAGGTTTTTAATTTTAATTTTACTATAATTAGTCACCAATTTAAATATTTTCATATAGTTCTAATTGTATTTTATTGTTTTAATTTTATTTGTTTATATATTTAAATATTTTTATTATTATATGTAGTCATAATATATAATAAATAATAATTTATTTTTTTTCAATAAATTATTTTAATATTTATTTTTCAATATCGAAGAAAAGGGCATCTTAATACAACTGGATGTCCTATTCTGGTATTTTAAAATTAAATATTATAAAAAATTATTATTTTAATTTTATTCAAATTAATATTATTAATATCAAGAAAAGAGCTGTCTTAAGGCACCTAGAAGTCATTTTCCGATATTTTTAAATATTTTTTATATAATTTTGAAATAATAGGATTATAAATTAAATATATTTTGAATTTTTAATAATAGAGACAATTTATAATTAAAAAGTACCAATTTTGGGCGTTGTAAGGGTGCTAATCCTTCCCTAAACGTAACCGACCACGAATCCCTTTTTATTATTAAAAAGAACGAATTTTTGGTTATAAACGTAGAGATCAGTTCATTTTTTAATTGATGTTTTCTTAAAACTCTTTTAAAGAAAATAATTTTTAGGTATTCGACCTACCTGACCCAAAAGGCCGATGGCGACTCCCAAATTATTTTCAAAAACCATTTATTCACATCAATTTTCCGGCCAAATAAATATTTCGTACCCGGACGAAAACCGGTTACGACAGCTTGGCGACTCCGCTGGGGACTGGTCAAACTTTTAAAATCAATTATAAATTGTCTCTATAAATTAAAATTTATATATTTAATTTATAATTTTTTCTTTTCAAATTTTTTATATATTTATTATTTTCATAGTATGTATATATTTTCCTATTAATATTTTTTTATTTGCAAGTATTTTATTTCATTATTTATTTTTCTGTCAGAGGTTTGAACATTTCTCCTCACACACAACACTTGCATTGCATAACATAAAGCTCTATAATTGAGTTTGTCCCTTTTAAGTGGGAGTGAAAGCGACGTCTTCGTGAGAATTTATTCTCCGTGTCAGACCTAGCAAGTAACTTTCGGGGTTCATATGCTCTATATCTTCGTGAGAATTTATTCTCCGTGTCAGGCATAGAGAAATGTATCCCCTCGAATTGAACTCGATCCACTTTAGTCTGTGATGGACTAGGATTTAGGGTTATCAACCCAAGGGGGCAATAACAAGGACAATTCGGGTACCTTTATTCTTAGATCTGAAACCTTGCATATAATAAACCCTAAAAACTCTTTCGATCTGAAGTCATGCCAAAATTTTGTCCAAAATAGGTACACACAGGAGAAATGAATTCTAACTTTCCTGTTAATTTATTTATTTTCTTTACTGATTAAAATTACATGTAAATTTAAATTATTTAAATTATGAAAAGCATGTTTAAATAAAGATATTTAGGTAGATATTATTGTTAAATTCTTTATTATGTAAACTACTTCATTTCTTTTTGTGTGTTCTTTATTTTTTTTTATTTTGCATAGCATCATACAGGATAAAAGGAATTGATCCTCGTGTTAATTGTCTCATTGGAAAGCCTTCATCCATAGATAAAAAGTGTTCAAATCAAATAATTATAAACTCAGAAGTAAGATAGTGGGTTGAGGACTTACAAAGACAAGAAGGAGACAGTCTGCAGGATGATTATGTATCTGACTTGGCCAGTTATGCTCCAGTTTCGCTAAAAAGAAATGATATGCAAGATTTGCGAAGCATTTGGGAAAGTTGGGATTCAAACAAAAAATTGCAGTTTTATCAGACTTACGGAGACATCCCATATTTGCTCTATGTTGAAGTTGATGATGAATTACTCAGAGCCCTAATTCAATTCTGGAATCCAGGGTACAATTGCTTCACTCTCAATAAGGAGGACTTGGTCCCTACTATTGAAGAGTACACAACTTTGCTACATATAGAAGGGGTTTTGGAGAATCGAATCTATTCAAAGTCAATTAAAACTCAACCCTTTCGAGTTAAATTAGCAAAGATTGCCGGGGTACGAGAAGAATGGGTGGCATCCCGTACAAACAAAAAGGCGAAAGCGAAGGCATTGCTTGGACCAACATTAAAGAACTTATTCAGAGTCATCCAGACACTAAAGTACGATTCGATCTATTTGCTCTGGTATGTATGGTATGGTCATCTTCCCAAAAGTATTGGATATGTTGAAGCTGCAGTGGTAGATTTGTTTGAACAGCTACCGAAAAAGATTAATCCTGCTTCTGCAATTCTAGCAGAGACCTTCAGATCGTTAAATGCTTGTAGAAAGCTAGGAGGTGGACGATTCTCAGGGTGTACCCAGTTGTTATATGTTTGGGTCCGTAGCCATTTCTGGAAGACAGAAAAGGTTTCATACCGACGCTTTAATACGGATTACTCACCATTAAAAGAATTTCTGGAGCAAGAATGGCCGAAAGAAATTAAGAAAGATATGTGGAATAATGCCTTTCGAAATCTGCAAAGCAATGACATTGTTTGGCGAGCCCCGTGGCAAATCCAAAGGGAATTATTTTACAAATGTGGTGATTACAATTGGATAATGCTGCTCGGATTATGGGGAGGAATTGGATATGCACCACTTCTGGTCATAAGACAGTATGAAGGTCGTCAATTTGTACCTGTTACCGCTGGATTACATTCATCTGAGTTCGCATTCCACAGCAAAAATTATAAAAGAAATATCATGGAAGTCGTTACAGCTTGGAAAACAACTTTTTGTATCCGAGCTAAAGCAGCAAAAGAAATGCTAACTCCTGATTATGAGGAATGGAGATCTGTCAGAAAAATGAAAATATTCCTCTACCAGATCAAAATGAGGATATCTCTATGGAAGATCGCATTAAGGTGGTTCCATCAGAGATTGAAATCCTGAGAGCTGAGTTTGAATCAGAAAGAGAAGGTTGGTCAAGAGAATCAAAGCAAATGAGACGAGATAAAGCTATGTTGGGTGTTGATATTGACTTTCATTCATCACAATGTGCAATGTTGAGAGAAAACAAAGAAAAATTTGATGGTGAATTTAGAACATTAAAGAAAAATTACCAAGAGTTATATAAATCCCGGAAAGCATCAGGACCAAGCCAATCAACGGTACAGATGACCAGAGAATTGAACATCGAGAAAAGTCGAGTTGAAGATCTGAAAGGAAAGAATAGCCGTCTACTCAAAAGCCTTGAGAAAGGAAAGCAAAAAATGGAAGATTTTGAGGTCGACAGAAGAGAGCGAATTACAAAACACAAGGCTGAACACCGCGAGATCATGAATGAAATGCAAAGAGAAAGGGATCGAGCCAAAGATTTAGAAGAGATAAAGAATGACATCTTTGATAAATTTGAAGGTGAGAAAAATATCAT